CTGTGACCCTGAGCAAGTCACTTAACCTATCTGAGCCTTAATTTCCTTATTTATAAAATGATGTGCTTTGAGTGCATTGTTTCTAAGCTCTTTTCAGTGCTTTTATTCCTTTTAATGTATGCTTTCTTAAAAGTTTGGGACACCTTTCAATGATAATATTAATTTTTTAAGCATCTATATAATTAAGTTATATTATAATGAGCATCAATTTACTTTGCAAACAATTTCAACTTATGAATGATTTGATTCCTGCACATTCCTGCTCTTTTATTCTTAATTTTGTGAGAATTCCAGGTATGAATTCATTTATTCATCAGTATTTAATATGTTTAAAGATTTAGGCCTCTTTTGAAAAAAATCCATCATCATCCTTAGTATCAACAGTAATTCCTTAATATCAGTAAATATCAGCCACATTTTCCAACTTTCAATTTTCTCATAAATACTACTTGTTCTATTATTTTTTTATAATTTAGAATTTAGATAAGTCTCAAGTATGTTGTTCATCTATAGTTCTCTTTCTACAATCTTTTTCTTTCAATTTTATTCATTGGAATCATTAATTTATTTCATATCAACAACTTGCTTCAGTCTGTTTTGCTGATTACATCCTTGTGGTAGTGTTCACTTTTCTCTAGTTTCTTTTTTCAGTTTAGTAGTTAGCTCTATGAGACTCGATCAGATTGAAATGATTTGGGGGCATGAATGTTTCATGGGTCATGTTGTGTTCTTCTATTAGGTATTCATAATGTCTGGTTTTCTCCCTTTTTGTGATTCTATCAGCTGCTGATGATCAATGGATTAATTCATGATAATTTTGATTCTGATATGATGAATTGTTCTTGTAGAATTACCAACAATTAGGGGAAGAGGAAATGCTGCTTGAAGTACTTTCAAAAGTTTAGAAGAAATAGTATTAAATGCCAAAATATTTTCTTAACTAGAAATAAAACTAATAAGAAAAAAAGTAAAAAATGTGTTGGCTTTTATCACTTTTTATCTTCCTGAGCTTTTTTTCTTGATGGGAGTTTGTGTTGTGGAATTGCCAGCCAGGTCTTTGTCATGAAACAGTTTCCAGTTTGTGCTCTGTGGTATTGGACAAGTGGTCTTGAATAAGATAGCATCACTGAGCCTCAGTTTTCTAGCTGTTAACTGATCATACAATGAATGCATGCACATAACAACCTTAGACTTTTCTTCTGCTCCAGTTCCCAACATATAAGTAAATATACTATGTATTTTGGCATATTTTGTTGAATTTATATTATCGTTTGACTCTACAAGTTCTTCTGATATAAGGGAGAAATGTGATATTAATCCTATTCTTGTGCAGACAATAAAAATTTATGTTGTTTAGGGTAAGTAGGAAGAGGAAATTCTATACCTTGTACTGAGTGATTTTTCTCCCCAGAATTGTTGTGGGAAATGCCAGAAATAGAGACATTGCTCACATGTTTATTTGCATATGTCTGGATTCGATCATTTTGTCAACATCTTTGCTGTTTTTGATGTCAGGCTTCTAGGTGACTGTTGTAGCCTACAGTTCCATGAAAATCTGATAATGGAGCAGAGGACTGTGGTCTGGGGAGTTCATTGTTTATGGTTTCTAAGAGCTGGAGGAAAGGAAAGATTGGATCTGAATATTGTGTAAACTATGTTTACAGAATTTGCAGTTTGTGGAACACCTTCACAACTTGTGTCTTGTCATTTAAAGCAACCCTGTAAAGTAGTTGTTGCAAAGTCTGTATTGTGTTTCAAATTATAGTTTAACCAATTCATATACTGACTGGTTTTTGGCTATTACTGACAATTTTATATATAGCTTCAAACAAGGAAGAGACATTCTTTTCACCTCTCCCTGTCTACCCATACAACTTTCATGATTCATTCCTGTGTTGTAACTTGTTGCTCTTTTCCTTTAAAGTTTCTTTTACCATCTGCTTATTTCCTCCCCACACCACTTCCATGACTGTGCATTCTAGTCCTTTCTTTCATATTTTTTAATGAATAAATCTCCTTTTTGCCACTATCCCTCAGACATTCTCCTCATGGAAAATTTTCTTATAGTTTTTTTCTCATTTGCCAAGTGTACACTACAGTACTATATGTACAGTAAGAGGTTATTTTCAGAGCTTAGATAATTCTTTGTGTATATATGATTCAGATCTTAAAGGAGGTTATTTTCTATACAGTTCAGATGAGAAGTTGATTTTTGTTTCATTGTTTCCATTTTTTAAAAAAGTTTTTGCCAGGAAGTTCTGCTAATAAGTCTTATTTGCTCTGGTGTACTAGTTTAGTAGTGTTTGCATGTAGATGTCTGTGGATGACAGTTATTGTAGCACTTTGGAAGTGCACTAAAAATGTGCCACTATCAAATGTTTCTATATTGTGTGTGTGCTAGTACACGCACGCGTGCACACAAACACACATACATTTTATAAGTGGTTGTATTCATTTAGTGAAAAAAAAGTAGACATACTTTAAAAAAAACTTGGAGAAATGCTTGGAATTTCATTGTGTTCACCCATTCAAAGTTTTCTCTCTTTGCTTTGGAAATATTTGTACCCGTAAGAGATATTTCAAAAATGTTATTCATTAAAACCTCTTAAATAACCACTATTTTTCATGTCTAGCAAATGAGTATGTCAAGGACTAAGATGAATACACAAATAATAAAAGTCAAATAAATTGTTAAACATGAAGAAAATTTAATGCTGTGACTATATTTTTTAACTCCCTAAATCAACTTCCTTCTAATAATTCATAATTATATTCTTTCCTATTTATTCCTTGAATTTTTCAAAGATTAAGTGCTACTTTTATTTTTTAAATAATTTGCTTTTTAAAAATTTTTTAGTTGTATATGGACATAATAGCTTTGTTAATTTATCTTTATGTGGTGCTGAGGCTTAAACCCAGTGCCTCACACATACTAGGCAAGTACACTACCACTGAGCCACAACATCAGCCCTGTAAATGCTACTTTTCTTAAAGATAATAAATTTTATTTGTCCATGGGTTTTATTGAAGAAATTTGTTCAAATTGTTTATCTTGGTTTACAGAGTGGTGCAGACCAGCAATCAAAGCTGCTTGGGAGGCTGAGGCAGGACAGCAAGTTTGAGGCCAGCCTAAGCAACTTAGCCAGACCCTGTGTCAAAATAAATATGAAGAGGCCTGGGAGTATAGATGAATGGTAGAGAGCCCCTGGGTTTATCCCTTATACCCTCAAAAAACAAAATTAACAAACCAACGATTTATCTTTCAACACCCTTTTCTAGAAAAAATACAGAAAACAACTTTGTGCTCTCAAGGTAAGACATTTAATATCTGTTGTTGGTGGCATGAAGCTGCCAACAATTCTTTTGATTTTGGTGTAGATTTTAATATTAATTTCTTTTCTTTTTGCTTCTTTTCAAGCACTGGTTTGTTAAGAATTTTTTGCAGTTTAAAAAACAGTTATATGATAGCTTAAAAAGAAGTCTGTTTCTAAGGGTTGTTTTTATTATGTTGGTTGTGAGTTTAAAAGTATATTTGCCTTAGTGATCTTACCAATTAATATAATTAATATAACAAAATGATTTGAGTAGTAAGCATGAATCATGGATAGACTATGAAATTTATTTGTCTCTGTGATCTAAACTACTTATGTTCCTATCCAGGAAAAAGATAAGAAGGTAATTTGTAAGCTGCAGATTCACATAAATAAATCTTTACTGAACTTAATTGTGCAAAATACAACATTATATTGAGGCTTCTATGAGAACAGTAATATAAAACCATGATTTTTGAAGAAATTGCAATTGATAAGAGGAGATTGAAAAATAATATGTTAAACTGCTGAAGAAAAAAGTTTAAATTGGTACCAAAATGATGGAAAGTTAGAAAAAACAACAGAATAATATGTTGTTTATTGTGAACACAGATGAGTCAATGAATGTTTTAACAGAGGAGTCATATCATGAAAATTTTGTTTTAGAAAGGAAAATTTAATGAAATTGTACAATGAGGATTATTGGGAAGGCTGGAATGAGAGAGTAAAATGACTTTTGTAGCAATTGACTTGTGATATGATGAAGAATGAAGCTAGGATTGCAGAAGTGTCAGTGGAATTGAAAAGGAAGGCACAGATTTTTTATACATCTACAATACTTAAAGAGGGATATTACTTGGTCCTCATTAGGGAAATAGATAGGTAAGTAGATAAGTAGAGATGAGAGAGAAAGTAGGACTGATAACTTAGGTTTCCATGGAGGTTATATAATCATATTTTTACTAATATAATTAGAGAAATAAGGAAGAGTCCTTTTGTTCATAAGTATATAAAGATGGTGGCTTCAGTTAAATAATAATTGATAAAGCATAATTATCCTTCATAAGCTACCAATATTGTGATTTATTCACTTTTTAGAAGACAGCATATGATCAGTTCCTGTTTCTTGACATCCTCAGACACACCCAGAATTATATACACATTTCTGATCCTCTCTTTTCCTTTTAAATTACCAGAGGCCTCTTCATCTTGTCATCAATGATCTAAATCTGTACTGACCAATGTGGCACTTACTTGTCATTTGGGCTGTTAAACCTTTGAAGTATGGCTAGTGAGAATGAGGGACAGAATTCTTCATTTAATTAATATAAATTTTAGTTTTAAAACTGCAACAAAATAAAAACATTTTTTTCTGTTAAACATAACTCTATTGTTAGATAGGATTAAATTTTACTTTAGCCATATAAAATTTGGCATACAAATTGAGATGTACCAAGAATTTAAAATAACAACCAGATTTTAAAGGCATAGTACAAGAAGCTAAAATATCTCATTAGGATTTTAATACTGATTACATGATGAATAATATTTTGCTTAAAGAAAACACTAAAATTAGTTTCTTTTAACTTTTTAAATGTGGCTACTAGAAAATTTAAAATTAAACAAATGGCTCTTTATTTGAAAAACAAAATTATATAAGTTTATATACTTATAGAGGTATAAACTTATATACTTTATAAGTATAAACATTCTTTATATTTTTATTGGACCACACTTCTCTGGTTTTAACATTCCTTCCTCAGACTATGCTCTCTCTCATATCTGTTGAGAACTTTTTCCTTTACATAATAGAATAGTGGCTATTCTATTATGTTTAAGATAAAATCCCCCACAAAGATATGTATGATAAAGGGACGCTTATAATTCTTCATGAAAGCATTCTAGGACTGAATTTTACCTGTATTTGTTTCAGTTGGAGCAGGTAACTAGGATTGTGAAAAGTCCAATATCCCCTGATCTTTAGAGAAACGGATTTCTTGGAGCTCCTTACTCATAATCTCTTTTGCCACTAGAGAAAATAATGAGCCAAGTAATGCCAGGAGAACCTAATCATAAGAACTCCTACCATAGTCATTTCTATTTTGTATTTTCCATTCACTGAGACAAATCTAGATGGAAGGTAACAAAAAAAGTGAAAAATTAATGAATAAGTGCAAATAACTCTCCAGGAATTACACTATATTTGTACATTTGATAGGAATTCTACATCAGCAACTAAAATTATTCCTCATTATTGTTAATTGCTTATATTTGAAAATGTACAAAATCCTCTAAGCTATCAATATTTCTAAAGAAAATATCTTAGTTCAGTATTTAAAAATAAAACAAAATGCTTGTAACCCCAGTGGTTTGGGAGGCTGAGGCAGGAGGATCGCCAGTTCAAAGCCAGCCTCAGCACCAGTGAGGTGTTAAGCAACTCACTGAGACCCTGTCTCTAAATAAAATACAAAATAGGGGTGGTAATGTGGCTCAGTGGTCAAGTTTTCGTGAGTTCAATTCCTGGTACCCCCCCCCAATAAAACTTTAAGGGAAACCTAAAAACACCAACAATCTTCAAGTCCATTAAGACCATTTTTTAAAATATTTGTCTAATAAGTCACTAATCAGCAGTTATTTATTGAGTACCTTTTATATGAGATACTGTGAGATAGTATGCATAAGTACAATTCATTATCCCATTAAAAAAAAATATATATATATATATATATATATAGAGAGAGAGAGAGAGAGAGAGTATATTATATAATGGTTATTGTCCTTATGTTCAAATATATGATCTACATGGAAAATTATTAAAACCAATATATAACAGAGTTCTAATGTGTATATCACCGATTTTCCAGAATAAGGAGTATAGATTTCTGTGTGTAGACACAAATTTGATAAGAAGAAAGCAATACACAGAATATCAAAAATTTTATTTCATCAAAATCTGAAATTTCACTTAAGTTATAAATATTTGAACAAAAGTGTTCAAAACTGAAATTTCGAGAGGCTTCTGAGAATTAGGTTTGTAATTAGCAGAGTATTGAAAAACAATTATGAAATGGGCTTTATTTTATTTTTTTCTGAATTGCAGTCTTTTATTTAATGAATTTTCTACCTAAATGTGATCATAGAACATTTATACTCACACCTCTCATTTAAGGAATTATAAATGTCATAAAGCCTACATTATGTATGTGAAATTCATTATGTCCTTATAAAATATGACTGCCAAATTTACTACTATGGAAAAATAATGACAGTACTTTGAAGATAATCTTAAAATCTATACACACTAGCTATAAGAAAGGAAGCAAAACTTTCTTTAATATGCAATTTTAATTCATTCTTTTTGGTTATACATCACAGTATAATTTATTTTTATAAAATCATACAAGCATGGAATATGTCTTATTCTAATTAGGACTTCATACTTGTACACAATGAAGGGATTCACTTAGGTATTTTCATGTATGTTCTTAGGAGAATTATATTAGATTCATTCTATTGTCTTTCCTGTTGTTATCCCCGCTCCCTTCCCTTCATTACCCTTCATCTATTCTACTGAACAACTCCCCCCTCCTTTATTGTGCTATAGCTTCCACATATCAGCAAAACATTTGACCTTTGGTTCATTGGGGATTGACTTATTTCACTTAGCATTATAGTCTCCAGATCCATCTATATACTGGCAAATATTTAATAAGAAATTTTAAATATCCCACATGTAAATCTATCACAAAAAAGCAACAAAATTAACAGAATTTCAAATCTCATTTCTTTATAGCATTATATCAAAATGAAGCAATTTACTTTTTTTTCTTTTTAAAGTTTTATTTTTTATTTGTTCTTTTTAGGTATCCATGACAGTAAAATCCATTTTGATGCATTTATACAAGAATGGAGTATGTGTTATTTTAATTAGGATCCCAGTCTTGTGGATATACATGATGGTGAGATTCACTATGGTGTATTCATATTTGTACATAAGAAAGTTATGTCCGATTCATTTCATTGTCTTTCCTATTCCTATCTCCCCCTCCTTTCCCTTCATTTAGTTTAAACTAGACTAACTTTGCTATTTAGTTTACAAAATAGAGGAGGAAGATCATTTCATGATGACATTCGGCTCATGTGACAGAAGGAAACTGGCCACACATGTGTTTGGAAATCATCTAGAACAGAAAGCCCTAAAGGAAATTCCAGTGAATGGAGCAGCCACAGTTCATCCCAGGTTAGTTTCAGCTTTAGTGCAGCCACAATGAGTACTTTCCTGTTGAAAGTGCCAACATTAGTTAATACCAACTCAAATCAAGTCTTAGCACTTGCAAGTTGTAAGAAGATTTAGCATTTTTTCCCTTAAATTCACATGCTATTTTGTACTTCTTGGAACTCATTATTAATTTTTATTATAATTTAGCAGGAATTTCATCAATTTTCATATTTTATAATAATAGAAAAACTTGGAAGAAATAAAATCAGGGCTTTGTTAACATTATTTAGTTCAAATTTTTAATTGTAGCTTTGGAATGTTGGCTACTTTGAAAAAGGTGTCAGTTAAGAAAACTTCCCCCAGTATTCACAGATCAATGCTAGAACTCCTGAAAAATAATGAATGAGGAATGAGAAATTTGGTAAGTTACAAAAAAGTGTATGATTTTGTGGTTTTAAAATTATCTCTTTATATTTATCAAGTTTGTTACTAAATATAATCTTAAATACTGAATAAAGACATAGAAGACTTTAACTTTTTTATTTTTTTTTATTTTTGTGGTGCTGGGGATTAGAACCCAGGGCCTTGTGTATGCAAGATAGGCACTCTATCAACTGAGCTGTATCCCCAACCTGTAGAAGACTTTTAAATTCCATGTATTACAAAGTCATCAACTGAAACTTTAAAAAAAATAGCTACTGGGTATTATGTTTTATTTTTATAAAAGCCATTTTATATATATATATATATATAATGTAATATATATGTATATGTATATATATAAATTGTAATATATAATATTACAATATAATATACAATATTGTATATATACTTTTTTGTGTGTGTGTGTGCTGCTGAGGATTGAACCCAGGGTCTTTTGCATGCAAGGCAAATACTCTACCAAATAAGGAAGTGCTCCATTGTGTGTACAATGAATGAAAGAGCATATTCTGCTGTCATGTATAATTGATTAGAACAAATAAATAAATAAGCAAATTTTAAAAAGGCATTTGATAGCATTTAAATTGTGAAATCCAAATATAAAATATATAATCCTTGAATATTATATTTCATATTTTATTTAGAAAGAGATGCTATGATTCATTATATATTCTTTAACCACAACAAAAATATTTCACAATGGTGAATATGTGGATTTCAGCCAATTAACTTTCCATTCATATGTTCCTTAGAAGACAAGGTAAAAAGCATTATGAATTTTTCTCAAAGTTTGGAAAAAGGATATAGTATGGGATGGGGATGTAGCTCAGTGGTAGAGCACTTGCTTAGTATGTACTAGGCTCTGTACATACAAAAAAGAGATAATTTTACAATAACACCAATTTTTAAATTTTTATTTAATTTTTATATTTTTGTCTGGGAATCAATGGTTCTTTTAATTTAAAAGGTAATGTAAATACCTCCTTTTGTAGAGGAATCTGATCCAATAGGATTTTTTTTACTCTGATCAACAGCATCTGGACAGAAAGAATAGAGGCACTTTTTGAATATTCTCTAGAATTTTGCTAGTACACTTAACAATATAAAGATATCAAATAAGGGCTGGGGTTGTGGCTTAGAAGTAGAGCACTCGCCTACCATGTGTGAAGTCCTGGGTTCAATCCTCAGCACCACATAAAATAAATGAATAAAATAAAGGTATGGTATCCAACTACAACTAAAAATAAATATTAAAAAATATATAAAATAAAAATATTGAAGTATTATTTATTGTCCTGATACTGGCTATATAAGCAATCAATCAGAATACATTATAACACAGTAAAGACAGAAATTTACTTAATTTAGTTTCTTCATATGAAATGCCAAAATATAGTCAAATTAGGTGTTTATTATTTTACTTGATATTCCAAACAAATGGAGCTTGAAAAGAAATGTTCTTTAGAGTTTTTTCTTTTCCAATTACAGTGGATATTTGACTAAGATTATTAAAACCAGTAACTTACTTTTAAAATTTCCTCCTTCCCTCTTAATAAAATAATAATAATTATTATAATTATTATTATTATTAATATTATTTTATGGGAAAGGCAGTCTCATGCCCACAGTCTTTTTTTTTTTAAAGAAAAAAAAATTTTTTTTTAATTTATGTTTTAGTTTTCGGCGGACACAACATCTTTGTTTGTATGTGGTGCTGAGGATAGAACCGGGCCGCATGCATGCCAGGCAAGCGTGCTACCGCTTGAGCCACATCCCCAGCCCCCCACAGTCTTTTTGACTCCCACAAATGCGTGTAAGTACAGACCTTGGGCCTAGAAAACTTCCTTACTAAGGGACAAAAAATCCAGATGACTTGTGCTAGGCTTATCACATGTGTGATAATTTCCTCTGTTGTAGCTTAATGTGTCTCTTTGATCTTTTAAAGTGTGTGGATCACATGGCACCTGCAGATAGTGATATCATATCTGTCTTTCCTGGGAAAGGGATGATGTCCTTTCTCTAAGGTAAGGAGTGTGCCCTAGGCAAATTGTCCTGTCAGCTGCCAGAAGAGACTGATAGCCATGTGAAACCCACACACATGATTGAAGCCAAACTTGTTGTCTCTTCTCTGTGTAAGTAAAGTATTACTCCATCCAATACTTGACTATATTGTGCTTTCCTTGTTGACTCTAATACCAATATGTAATGTGCATCAGTGTTGGGAATCCTCCCCTGGGATTGGTAACTTGTGCATGGTATTTTGTACAACATCATTATTATTTTCTGAGAAGAACACTTAACAGATGACCTGTTTTCTTATAAAAATTTAAGAATATAATATAGTGTTATTCACTATAGGCCTTTTGCTGTACAATAGATCTCTAGGACTTATTTACCTTGTATAAGTGAAAATTTGTACCCTTGGATACTACTTCTTTTCCTCTCCTTTGTAAAAATGCAATTATGCTCTCTGCTTCTATGAGTTTAAATTTTCCATAAGTGATATCACATAGTATTTCTGAATTACTTTATTTGTAATTGAATTACTTTATTTGTAATTGAATTTATTTGTAATTCAATTACTTTATTTACTTATTTAATTTAGCATTATGTCCTCAAGTTTCATTCTGTTTTCACAAATAGCAGAATTTTGCTTTTTTTAAAGGTTAAATGATATTCCTTTGTTTATATATACCACATTAACTTTATCATTTCATCTATCTATAGACATTTATATTGTCTCCACGTCTTGGCCCTTTGAATGATGTTGCAATGTACATGGGAGTGTAGGTATCTCTTTAGGTTCCTGATTTAAATTCCTCTGAACATATACCTGGAAGTGATATTGCTTGATCATATGATAACTCCATTTTACATTTTTTGAGGATCCTTCATACTGCTTTCCATCCCTGATGAATAATGTTGTTGAACACCTTTCATATCTTTTGACCATCTATATACGTATTTTGAACAACATCTGTTCACTTCATTTGCCCTTTTTAAATTGGATTTTTATGTTCATGGAGGGTAGGGGAAGTTCTGGGGATTGATTCTAAGCCTTGTGTATGATAAATAAGTGTTCCACCACTGAGCTCTATTGGAAGCTCTTTTAAAAAAAATATTTTGAGAAAGGGTCTTTCTAACTTGCCCAGCCTAACCTTGAACTTGGCAGTCCTCCAGCTGCAGCCACCTGAGTAGACAGGATTATAAGTGAGGGCCATTGTTCTTGGCTAATTTGTGGTTTTCTGTTTCTGTTTTTTGTTTATTTGTTTGGTTTGCTTTGTTTTCCTATTGGATTATGGGAATTCTTGATATATTTTGGATCTTAACCTTTTATCACATATGTGGTTTTTACAGATTTTCTGAAATTCTATAGGTTGGCTTTTTGTTTTGTTGCTTTCTGTGCAAACTCAACTTTTAAGTTTTACTTATTTAAGATTTAGTGTGCAATCTGATAATTCGTATATGCTAACATTGTAAAGCTTTGTTTTCATTATTTATTTTAAAATTTTATCTCAAATAATTACATAATTCACAGTTTTTCATATTTACAGCATATTTTAAATGTTTATTGATTTTTTCAAGAAGTATTTAGGATGTAATAGGTATAATTATGTATGGGATACAGTGTGAAAAATTAATATATGCATGCAATCTGTAATGATTATATATGATTAATTAGCATTTCCATATATTTAATCATATATAATTTATTTCTGTTGGGAACCTTCAAACTCCTCTAGTTCTTTATAAAATATATAATAAGTTTTTATAAAATATAGTCACCCTACTGTGCTATTGAACATTATTCTTATTCTTTCTGTGTAACTATACATTGTTTACAATTATCCAACTTCCCTCCTTCCATTCTGCTATTCTCCTAAACTCTAGTGAATAATGTTCTACTCTTCACTTCTATGAAATCAATTTTAGCTTCCACATATAAGTGAGAATATGTTGTATTTGTCTTTTTATGCCTGGCTTACTTAACTTAATGTCCTCCTAGTCTATCCCTATTGATACAAATAAAGGATTTAATTATTATTATGGCTGAATAATATTCAATTGTGTATATTATTAAAGAATAACATACATGCAAAGAGTGCACAAATATAAGTGAATTTTCAGAAATATAAAAAGTGAAATTATGCAACTATCACCTTGCACAAGAAATAAAAATCCTATAAGCCTGAGGTAAATTTTTTGTATACTTTAAAAAAAAAATTCTCACTGCTTTCTAAAACTAGCATGATTTTTAATATTGTATATTACTTTTTATCAGTTTTCTAATTTATATAATTTGAATCACATGGGAAATATTATGCTGTGCCTGGCTTCATTTATTCAGCATTATATTTGTGATATGCATTCATGTTATTGGGCATAGCAATTTATCCATTTGAATTTCAATATGGAATCACATGATATACTTTAAAAGGCCCATGGGCATTTGCATTTTTAGATTTTGGCTATTACAAATAATTATATAGCAATGAAAGCATTGTCATATGGAATTTTGTAGGTTAGGCACTTAGGAGTAGAATAGCAGAGTAATTTGATAGTATATATTCAGATGCAGTAGTTAGTGACAGTTTTTTAAAAATGGTTTGCAAATGTATATGAAGATTTCAGTTGCGCATTGTCTTTGCCAAACATTGATATTTTTATCTTTTTTAAAATTTTATCCATTAGGATTGGTTGTCTAGTAATATTTTATTGTCATTTTATATTTGCATTTTTCTGATGACTAATCGCCATGATAACTTTTCAATTTTTGAATTTCTCCTTTTGGAAGATTCTATTGCACATTTCGGTTTTCTAAGTGGGTGAAGGTTTTAAATTTTTTTCTTCTTTCTTTTTAGGAGTATTTTAAAAGGTATATTCAGGTTAAAATTACTTATTAGTTAGATATATGACAAAGATATTACCCTATTCCTTTCTTTCTTATAAATTTTGGGAACATATATTTTATTTTTAATGTAGTTCAGTTTTACGATGTTTTGTATTTTGGTTTGTGTTTATTGCGTCTTTAAAAATACTATTGCTAACCACAAAACTATAAAAAATATTCTCCTGCATTACTGCTTTTTATATACTTGTTTTATTTTTTACATTTCTATCTATAATTCACCTGGAATTGATTTTCAAAATTGAATTAGGTAGGCTGTAACAAAATACATTTTCCATCATTTGGATATCTGGTTTTCCCAGCCCCATTTATTAAAATACTACCTTGTCCTTATTGCTCTGTAGTGATAATTTTGTCATAAATAAG